CCATAGGGCAGCTGATGCCCAGGTCCTCCATGTTTTGCACAGCCCAGAGCAGCACACAGCATGGGATGTTCACTGTCCTCCTCTGCCCAAGCACAGCCCTGGTGTCCCAGTACCCCCACATGATGCTGAGCCACCACCCTCCCAGGCAGGGACTTCCTGTATCTTTACCTTGGCACATCCACACCCAGGAACACCTTCCAGTTATCCCAGCTGCCATAACTGTAGGGGTTCCTGAAGAGCTGCAGGCCAAGCAGACACACATCAGGTCTGGCTGTGGGCTGGCCACCCCGCTGCTCTGCAGGCTGTGCTCACCTTGCCCTTCTTCTGCAGCCTCTGCCTCTCCTTCTTGTTGATGTGCCGCTCGATGCTGGTTTCCCCACGGGTGATGAGAGCAGCATGCCACAGCGTCAGGGCACCCAAGGCCAACGCCACCGAGCTGGGGATGGCAAGGGACAGCAGGCTGCACACAAGCTTCCCCTGCCTGATGCCGCAGGGCTGAGGCTGCCTCTCCGCACCCACGACTGCATAGGTGGGTCAGCACATCTACGCCCCTGTGGGAGAGCTAAAATCCCTCCTCAATGGCCCAAGAGCTGGCAGGGCAGGGACACTGGTGCAAGAGCTCCAGGGAGGCAGAGCGTGAGGAGTGTCACGGGGCAGGGGGCTGCATGCTGCTTCCCCCCACACTTTGCCCTGGGCCCCCTTACCTGCATAGGACCCAGACATAGACCACGCTCTTGTGGAAAGCTCGCTGGCGGAAGGAGAAGGTGGGCGGTGGGGTCTGGTAGTATGTCTGAAAAAGGATCAGGGAGAGGGGAGTTACCCAGTCTGCTCTGTAGCTTGAAGCCAGATGGGAACTGCTCCACCCCTCCCTGACACAGAGCTTGGGCAGCTGGAACCGAACACAACAGCCAGGGTGATGGGGAGGCAGCCCAAGACAGGCATGAGACATGAAAGCTGGCACACCAGTGAGAAGCAGTGGGCTGGAGGTAAAGGGCAGGGACTGGTCAGGACACCACACCAGATGCTCAGGGTGAGATGTACGCACTGCTGCAGCTTCCCCAGGGCAGCAGGGCCTGAGCAGTGCATGCCAAGCAGCTGCCACCAGTCAAAGCCCCCAGGAGCTGAGTGCACAGGGAAGCAGAGCCCAAGCTGCTGGAGGCAGTGCCCGTAGCAGAGCTGCCCAACCAGCCCCAGCTCTCTGCCACACGAGGTAAGCACAGGGGCTGGTTCTGGCTGCAGTGTGCTCACTCAGAGCAGGGCCCCAAGCAGGACGCAGCCAGCAGGGCAGCTCTGCTCCATGCTGTTTGCAGCATCTGTGGGGCTGGGATGTCCCACCTGGTTGGCAGCCACCTGCAGTCTCTCCTTCTCAAGCAGTTTCATTCTCTAGGGGGTGGAAAACAGGACACCCGTTACGTGTCTCAGCGGAGGGGCCTTTCCCCCTCACCCCCCGCAGGACCAGGGCAGCTGGGGGCCTCGCAGGAGGAAGGAGAGAGGAAGCAACGACGTGGCCAGGCCTGGCCAGCCCTGTGCTGCAAGCTCAGCCCGGGCAGCCCCGGTGCATGGCAGGGTGAAGGCTGGGGGCTGCTGGCTCACCTCAATGGCTGCATAGGCATCCCGGAACATCTCCCAGCCACTGATGCTGCAGTAGATGCAGCCCATGGTCATGAACAGGCAAAAGGAGAAGAAGTAGCGGTGGTTGTAGTGTCCCACACAGTTGTTCAGCCAGGCTGCCTCTGGCATTAAGGGTGTGTAACTGTGACAGTACATGGGTCCAAACCAGCATCCTTCCCTGTGCTGGCTGACTTGGGAGCGGTGCAGGACATGGAGAGAAGGGGGAAGCAGGGTCAGCTCCCCCAGGAGAGTGCCATGGGTTAGTACTGTGAAAGGATACGGCAGTGGTGGTCCATCTTCAGCACACACCTGGGAGGGAGGAGAGCAGCACCAGTGTCAGCACAAGCACTGTGTTTGGGAGGGGACAGGCAGCCCGCAGCCCTGCAGGCTGTGTGAGAGATGAGGCAAGAGCCAGCAGAGCAGAGGGGAGCGGGCCCCCGTCTCTCAGTGTGGCAGGGGGCAAGGAGAGGGGTCCCCTGAGTGCTGCGTTGGGCCCTACCTGTTGCAGATGCTGCAGTGGTGGGTGCGAGCAGGCTTGGGAGCAATGCATTTCCTGCAGATGGAGACGCCGGTGAGATCATCCTTGGCCTGTGCACAGGTCAGAAGAGATTTGTGCACCTAAGCCCTGCAACCATCCCATTTTCCATGCTCCCCACCTCCCCTGTGACACCCCCCCTCCACCAGGCACCCAGCCTGCCTGCTCCTATCTCTATGCAGCCTGCAACCACACCACCAGGTTGGTTTATCTCTTCCCAGTGATTGTAGCTGTGCCCAACCAAGAGAGGCTGCACTGGTGGCTGGTGTCTCACCTGTGGGGGGTGCCCGGGTGAGGTGGTGATGGCCATGTAGTAGTGGAAGATGATCATGATGAGGTTCCAGTGTCCGTAGGCGAGGTGCCAGCAGATCCAGGCAGGGGTGTAGGTCTGCAGGATGAGGGGCAGGAGGCAGATGTACACGATGGCCACGACGGAGCTCGTCAGCCCGATCACCAGTGCCACAAACACCTGTGTGAATGGGACCTGCTGTCACCGCAGTGTGCAGTGTGTGTTCCCTGCTGCCACGGGGAGAGGCACACGGGCAGGATGCAGGCACAGGAAACCAATTGGAACAACACAGTGAGGTCCCACTTCCTTCCTGCCCAGGGCACAGGTAGCCCTGAGGCTCAGCTGCCCCATGAGGGTACTCACCACACCGAACCACCGGGTGACATGGTCCACCAGCCAGTAGACGGGCTCAAAGAGGGAGTCAAGCACCACGTCGCCACTGGTGAAGGAGTTGTAGAGCAGGGAGCGGAGGCAGAGGTGCCCGTAGCGCCAGAGCTGCTCTGCCTGCCGCACCAGCGTGCACCGCCGCCGCCGGCCCAGCCGCAGGCACCGGAGCAGGAGGCGCATCGCCGCCGCAAACACCCGCTGCCGGCTCCTCATCCCTGCCACACCGCACCTGCAGGGACAGCCCAGCGTGAGCAGCCCCTGCGGCCCCTCCAGGATGTGCTGGTGGCACAAGGATGCACTCCTGGAGACTGTGAGGCTGCTGTGGCTGGGCCAGCTCTGCTCTGTGCATGGAGCAGGGGGCACAGGCCCCTCGGTGTCTGGGCTCAGGTGCTCTCTGGTCTCGTGTTTCCCAGCAGGGAGGGAGCCGGGGCAGGAACACGGAGAGCCTGACTCAGAGGAAACCAGAGAAGGCACCAGAGCATCCATGACACTGGGACAGTTCCAGGGATGATCCCAGACCCAGCCCTTCCCAACAGGTCAGGAATGGGGGAACCCGAACAAGTTGTATGTGGAAAAGCTGGACCAATATTACTCTATCTCTCCTAGTCCCCCTCCTCATCCCCAAAAAGTAAGGCCTGTATGCTGTTCCATAACCTCTGGATCAACCTGCAGAGGCCACCCTGCCCCACTGAGAGTCCCAGTGCCTTCTTCCCCATCTCCCAGCAAAGGGCAGCCCCAGGGCACGGTGATGCTCTGCAGTGCTCCCCTGCCTGCAGATCCCCTCATCCCACCCAAGAGCTGCACTGGGAATGAGGAGGAACCCGATCCAGCCCATAAGCAGGGAAAGTGATCCGCAGGGCCGGGGCCCCCAGGTCTCCGGGCAGGCACTGCACATCAATATTAAGCAGCGAGGCTGCCCCGGGGTCCTGCCAAGGCACATTCTGAGCCTGGGCCAAGTGTTCACCTCGGCACAGTGCCAGGCAGTGATGCCACACCGCGGAGTCCTCCCAGCGGGGATCAGCTCCCTGTGCTGCCATATCCACTGCACAGGCCTCAGGGAGCAGCAGGAAGGGGAAAGGCAGGAGCTGCAGCATCCCCATGGGCTGTCCAAAGGAGCCAAGGGCTCCTCTCCGCCCTGCCAGACACACGTGGGGCTGACCCAAGGCTGGGAGCAGCTGGGCACAAGGTCACCAGACCCAGCAGCCCACCCCAGCTCACAGGCACGGCTCCTGCCCAGGTTTCCTGTGCTCTGGTGAGGGAGAGGTGGGATATGCAAACCCCAGTGCCACCCCCTTCCCCACGTTTCCCCTTGACTGGAACACATCAGGTGAAAAGCAGAGCAACAACTTCCTGCTGTGCCGCCTTTGGGTGCACAGTCCCCGTGCTGTCAGGGTGACAGCAGAAGGTGCTGCAGCAGCAGCAGATCCCTCCAAACGCAGAGCAGCTCCCTGCCCCTCCGACAGCTTCCTCCCCTACAGCAGCAGAGCCCACAGGGGAGGAAGCCAGCCCCAGGGCAGGACCCAGGCACCTGCCTGCAGACAGCAGCACAACCGCAGGGGTGAGGCTCCAGCAGAGCCAGGCACCCTCCCTGGCCCAGTCAGCACTGGGGGCGCCAGCCCTCGGCCCTCCCCACATCCCAGTGGGGCACTGAGCAACCACCAGCACAGCCGAGACCACAGGGAACAGCACAGCCCGGGGGGGGGACACCTCAGATTCGGCCCTACCGCAGGCACTGCTCCTGCCAGAGCCACACAACCCAGTGGCACCCTCCTGTGGCACCCAGCACCCACAGCACAGAGGCAAAGCCGCTCTGTGGCACCCAGTCCCAGCACGCAAAGGCTGCCTATACCAACAGCACAAAGCCCTCAGCCCCACTGCATCCAGCCCCGTAACACCGGATCCAGTGCTCCGCAGCACTCCGGCCCCTCCATACCCACAGCATCCCTAGGGCGACAGATCCCACCCCTACTGCCCCCAGGCCCGCCCAGCCCCCTGCAGGCCCAGGTCCCCTCCCGGTCCCACCGCACCGCAGCAGACCTGCCGCCCACGCCCCGCCGCCCGCCGCCTCCATGCCCGGCGGCCGCCGCTCCACGGCTCCACCACGGGCAGGGACCGCCGACCCGCGCACTGCGCCTGCGCGCAGAGCATGCCGGAACGCGGCCGCAGCCGGCGCTGGACTACAACTCCCAGCGGGCAGCGCGCTCACGGATAGGGAAGAACCAATAGCTGCGCCGCTTAGAGCGCAGCATTGACTCCGAGGACCAATAGGGTGAGGGTTTTCTCCGGGTGCACTCCCGGCCGCGAATATGGAGACTCCGGAGCGGTTCTGTGTCCCCGGTGAGTGCGGGGGGTGCCCGGGGTGAGAAGAGGGGGCCCCTGGAGCTGCGGGGTGCCCGGGACCGGGGTGACGCGGGGGAGGAGTACGGAGGGGCAGAGGCTGTGGGGAGGGGGTTGCCCCGGGGCCGGCTGGGAGCGGGCATGGGCGGTGCGGGGCCTGGGCCCCGGCGCGGGAGGTGTCCCGGCAGTGTGAGCCTGTCCCTTAGGCGAGCGGCTGTGCAGCACGGAGGAGGCCACGGCTGGCAGCGGGACCTACACCCGGCACGGATTCATCTTCTCCTCGCTGGCTGGGTGCGTGGAGAAGACGAGCGAGGAGAGCGGGGTGAGCACGGAGCGGCGCATGGGGCTCGGCCCCTTAGCCGACTGCTGGGCACTGCGGCTGCGCGGCCCCTTCCCATTGGGCTTCGGTGGGATTTGGCCCGTGCCTGCCGTTATCCTGTGCTCCAAGCTAACCCTTGTGTCTGCTGACCTGCAGCTGCCCGTTGTGTCTGTGGTGAGAGACAGTGACCCCCAGCTCCTGCCCGACGTGGGGGTCGTGGTGACGTGCAAGGTAGGGAGACAGAGTGCCCTGTGGTGGCAAACTGCAGTCATTGTTTGCACATTCGGGGTGAGATGAGGAGCCCCTGAGCTCGTTGGAACCCTTTGCAGGACCCCCAGCAGGGCAGAGGGAGCCTGCTGGCACCCTTGGGCCCCTTACTGTCAAAGGAGCCAGATATTGGCATGGGGGGGGGACACCTCCCATGCAATGGTGCCTGCCTGAGGTAGGCTGAAGGGAGGTTTTCCTTTGCTCTCCCTTCCACAGCTCTTTGTATGGAGGGCAGTGCCTGGGACAGCTTGGAGAAAGGGTGGCACTGACCAAGCATTAGTTTTGCTATGGTGGGAGAGGGACTGGGATCACAGCAGGTCTTTGCCTTATTCATGTGTCTTGAGTTGAATAAGTTATCTTCTTCACTCTGCATCCTACCTCCACTGCTTGTTTGGTCACAAGGAGGAGGCCGAGTGAGACACGTGCTCCCCACATACAGGCCTGTCCTGCCTGCACCCTGCCCTTTCCCTGTTCCCCTGCTCTCCAGGGTGAGAGCAGACTTTTTCTGGCACTGATTCCCGTTTTCCTTCTGGCAGGTTTGCAGCATTAACTCTCGCTTTGCCAAGGTGCACATCCTGTACATTGGCTCCACACCACTGAAATCCATCTTCCGGGGGACCATACGGTAGGGAGGGGAATGGTTCCTCATGAGATGGGATCCAAGTGCCCCATCCTTAGGGAGGGGGAAGGCTTTTCTGGGCAGTGCAGCAGCTGCCCTGGCAGGATCTTTGCCCTGAGCACTGGGCAGGAATCCAAGGTGTCCTGGGAGCACCCAGGGAGGCCGGGGCAGCTCCTGCTGCAGGCTGCAGAGTTGCCTTCACTTGCTGGCACTCAGATCCCTCCGTCTCCTTTTTCAGGAAAGAAGATATTCGAGCCACGGAGAAAGATAAGGTCAGTGAGGTGCTGCTGTGGCTGCCCCGCTTTCTGCTGGTGGGGGGCACCTGTCCTGCTGCCGACAAGCACCCTGACACACTGCGCCGTTCTGCCTGCTCTCTCCCATGCAGGTGGAAGTGTACAAGAGTTTCCGCCCTGGTGACATAGTCCTGGCCAAAGTCGTATCCTTTCCTCTTACTGCCAGGGACAGCAGGTTTGGAATCTCCTTTGTGGGGCCTTTCCCTTAACCCATGTCTGACCAGATCTCCCTGGGGGACTCACAGTCCAACTACCTGCTGACAACAGCTGAGAATGAGCTGGGTGTGGTGGCAGCACGCAGCGATGCAGGTAGGGATCTGGCAGCGCTGTCTCCTGTCTGCCTTTCCTTTCCTCCTCCCTTTCCACATGGAGCATGATTTCAGGAAGGGGAACCCCTGACATATGGTGTCCCAGGGATGCAGATGGTGCCCATCAGCTGGTGTGAGATGCAGTGCCCACGGACACACACCAAGGAATTCCGTAAGGTGGCCCGCGTGCAGCCGGAGTTCCTGCAGACCTAGCAGCCACGATGGGACCTGCCGGATGAGGGGCTGCAGGGCCAGAGCAGCCCCTGACCAGGGGGGTGCCCCAGCCAGGCCCTTGATGGCAGAATCAATTTTCAACTTTCAGATAATAAATATTTTTTGAGAGCTCTGTGCTCTGACCGCTTACAGCCCAGAGGGGTGGCTGGGGCTGCACACAGGCTGCTCTGCTGCTCATAGGGGAGCTGCTATGGGGCAGATTCCACAGTACCATGCCATGAACCCAAGTGTTCCCAGCCTTTCCACACACAGGGAGCAGCTCCCTCCCTGCCCTACCCCAATAACTGGCGTGGAGCAGCTGTGCTTAGCCCAGGGTGCTGCTTATCCTGCCCGTTGCCTCTGGGTGTGCCCTAAAACCACAGCATGAGGGCTGGGTGTCACCCTAGGGCTGGATTGCGGAGCTGAGCTTGGTCCCAACTGCAGCCTCACACACATGTGGTGCTGGGCAAGGAGGGAGGGAGCTGCTCCCACACAGGCACAGCAACACTCAGACACCCCGTTATTGCGCATTACTCCTTTATTGAAGTGGAACAAGACAGCTGTTAACGTTGGACAGTTACAGGCCCCCCTGAGGCCCCAGGCTTGTGGCATGGGCAGAGGGGGAGGCCACAGCAACAGGGCCACGTACACACAGGTGAGGTGGGGACAGTGACATCTGCTTCACTAGGACTGGGATGGGCTTCAGATGGGGGAAGTATGTGGTGGGCATGAACCTCCAGGCGATAGGGTCCCTCGCCCTTGTCCAGAGGCAATAAGTTAAAGCACGGGCTGGCAGGGCTACGTCCAGGGTCACAAGTACCACTTGCACCAAAACACAATCCCTTCAGCATCCACACATCCCAGTCACAAACCCACAAGGGGATGGTGTCCCCACCTTGGTTGCTGCCTGCACTATGCTCACCCCACTGCTCCCAGGATGACTAAACCAAGCAACAGTAACGGGGTGACAAGAGCTGTCGGGAAGCAAAGCAGAGGAGCCTGGCACAGCGAGGGATCGCTCAGCACATCCCCCTGCAGACAGGGCCCGAGGGCTGGGATCTTGGCAAGGAGAGATGTGTGGTCGCTGCCTGACAGAGCCAGCACTCCCTTTCACACAGCCCTCCACACACAGCCCCTCACCCCAAGCTGTCTGCAGAGGGGAGCCTGGTCCCGAGGGAATAGGGTTAATCCTGGGGAGCTGCTCCAGTTCTGCAGCTCCAACTTCCTACAGCTGTGGGGGGTGTGCACAGAGGGGAGGAGGGGGCAGGGGCCTCTACTACTTGCTAGCCTGCTGCCTGCTCTCACTTCTTGACCTTGCCCTGAGCAGCAACGGCCTCCATGGCCTTGCGCACTGTCTCCTCATCCCCCAGGAACTGCATAGGCTTGACAGGTTTCAGGTTCTTGTCCAGCTCGTAGACGATGGGGATGCCAGTGGGCAGGTTCAGCTCCATGATGGCCTCTTCTGACATACCTGCAAACACAGATGGGCTGTTACTTGTAGCCCTGCTCGCACCAGGGGAGACCCTCGTGATACCCCTGCAGGGCTGATGTACCTTCCAGATGCTTGACAATCCCACGCAGGCTGTTGCCATGGGCAGCAATAAGGACTCGCTTGCCCTCTTTGATCTGTGGGACGATTTCCTCATTCCAGAAAGGCAGAGCCCGGGCGATGGTGTCCTTCAAGCTCTCACATGTCGGCAGCTGGTCCTCTGTCAGGTCAGCATAGCGACGGTCCTGGGGGGGAACAGCCACGATCATGCAGTAGCTCAGTGCACCCAAGCAGTGTGGGAAGGCAGTGGCAAGGCCTTTGTCCCTCCCCTAAATTCTCCACCTGAGCACCCACTAGACAGGCTTGGAAGCAAAGAAGCATGTTTGAAGCCTGAGGCTGCAATCAGGGCTGAGCCCCTCCCAGGGAAAGCCACATGTCGCTTGCTCTGGGCAAAGACACCAGAATAAACCTCCATGCACAGGTCATGGGACTAATCATTAACAGACATATCATCCCCTCCGGTTTGAATCTGTCTGTGCAATGCCCAGGGGTTCAACTCCCCTGGGAGGGAGTGGGATAAACAGCCCAAAGCCAATGAGCATCATGCACAACCAGCTGGCTGCTGCAACAGAGACAGAGGAGACCCTGTGGAGGAAGCCACATCACCCTCCAGGGGCCTAGTATGGGTTTTAGGAGCTTCCAGCAAGGTGGACTAAGAGCAGCGGGTCTTACCTTGGAGATGGTGCTGTAGAAGGGGTGATCGGACTGCATAGGAGGCGGAGGAATGTCGTAGGAGCGCCTCCAGATCTTCACCTGTGCCTCACCGTGCTTCGCCGCCGTCTCAGCCTTGTTCAATCCCGTGAGTGCCCCGTAGTGCCTCTCATTCAGGCGCCAGGTTCGGATCACGGGTAACCACATCTGATCGATGGCATCCAGGACGGTCCAGAGGGTGCGGATGGCCCGTTTCTGCACCGAGGTGAAGCAGATGTCGAACTCATAGCCGGCATCTGCAACAGGAAGGAACGGGCCGGGGGGGGGGGGGGATGACACACGCCGACACCGGGGACGTTAGAACCGGGCCTTATGCAACCAGCGAGGTGCCCAGCATGGCAGCCGCACCGCACGGCTATCGGGCAGCGGTGGCAGGGACGCGACCGGTAACGGAGAATCGCCCCCCCCGCCCCATTACCTGATACTCCCCCTTCGGTACTAAAGTCCCGATCCAGCACCAGAGCACCCCCCCGGCATCGGAAGACCCCAAACCCTCCTCACGAGGCCCGAGGCGGCCGCACATCCCCCCCCGCCCCCCCCTCCCGGCCCTTAATTCACATATACCCCCCCCACACCCTCCCTCTTCCCCCGGTCACCGGTACCTCGGAGGGCCTCGCCGCCGCGCCGCGCCTCTTGCTGCCCGGCGGGGCTGAGATCGGCATCGTACCAGCCGCTGAAGCGGTTCTCCAGGTTCCATGCGCTCTCCCCGTGGCGGACGAGGACGAGGCGGTAGGCGGCCATGGCGGAGCAGCGGCGAGGCGGGAGAGAGGGGCGGGCTGACCGGCGTGCGCGCGCTCTCGCTCGCTCTCTCCTCACGCCGCTGCAGCGCGCGACCGACGCAGGCGGCCCAGCCCCGCCCCTTCCCCGAGCGGCGCATGCGCGAGGCTGGCGCTCAGGCGGAATCGCACGTAGCGCATGGCGGGGCTGCGAAGGGCGGTGCGACCTTCAGGCCGTGACGTCACCGCGCCATAGTGCGTACCTGGGAGCCTGCCGCGGCAGCTCCGGCAGGCTGCGGGACTTGGTACGAAACAGTGCCACACCGGGGCGGCACCGGTGGTGCCTTCACCCCTGCAGCGGGGGGGGGAATCAGCCGGGCTCCCTTTCTGGGGCCGCCCCTGAGTCACATCCGAGCTTTAACCCGCCCCACTGAGCCTCGCTTTCCTGGCCCCCCGCCCCAGTGGGAGGTGCCCAGCTCTGAGGGCAGCCGTGCCCTCATTCAAGATGGCGGCTGGCGCCGGAAGCGGAAGGGGAGGTGTGCGTGGCGCGGCTGCACGTGGAGCCGGGTGCAGCATGGCGCGGGGCGGGCGGCTCCGGTCGGGCGCCGCCGCCAAGCTGAAGAGGTGGCGGAAGGGCCACAGCAGCGACAGCAACCCCGAAACGCGGCAGCACCGCCTGGCCGCCCGCAGCCGCTTCTGCAGCCGGCCCGCGGGTGAGCGCAGGACAAGGCCGGGCGAGAAGCGGGGCCCGCTGGGGCCTGTGCCCGGCACTTCCCGGCGGGAGTACAGGGGCGCCTGGGGGTTGCGGGACTTAAGTCAGTGGTTCCCGATATCTGGGGTTGGAGTAGGAGGAACCAGGGCTGATCCCCGAGCTACAGCCTCAGGAGGTGGAGGCAGCAGAGCGGGGAGCAGAACCGAGCCCACGGCGTTAACGAGCATGTCCTTGTTGCCTTCACCCGACCCCCGGGCCATGGAGTGAAACGGGGCACCCGGTGAGGGTCCTGCCCGCATCTGGGATATGTGCTGTCCTGGCAGTATGATGCCCCTCATGGCAGGAGCGATTCGGCTTCCAAAAACACATGTATCTGCTGATCCAGAAATGTGTGTTGTGGCATGCGCTGTCCTCTTGCAGCTGGTTGCAAGCTGGTGTGTGGGACCCAGAGGGATGTGAGATACATGCTATGGCTGTTTGGTTGCCAGGGTTCCAGGTGGAAGAAGATGAATGGGGCAGAGTACAAGAGGCACCTCAGTGTTAAAAGCCTTGGTATGGCAGGGCATGTTTCTGTGGACATGATGCTCTCCTTCATCAAAGAACGTGGCTGGACTGTGCCCTGGCTTGTTTATACAGCAATGAGGAGCTCTCTCTAGTTATTGTGCTGTCTGCCATCAGGGAGAAGCAGCATCCATGTCCCACACACTGGAGATGAGCTCCAGCCAAGTGGGTCTGGCTAATGGGGGTGTTTGGGGTGAATGGTGGAACAAGACAGCTTTGTGGTTCTGAATGCATCTCTTCCCCCTGGCAGAGAAAAGTAACCTGACAGTGGATGCGGTGAAGCTGCACAATGAGCTGCAGTCGGGGTCCCTGCATTTGGAGAGGACAAGTGACAGCGCCCAGCTCCGTATGGAGGAGGATGGTGCTGCAGAAGCCGCGACGGAGAAGTCCTCCTGCACCTTCCTGAGCGGGCTGAGCGACTGCACCAACGCCACCTTCAGCAAGGTGCAGCGCTTCTGGGAATCCAACTCTGCTGCTCACAAAGAGGTATGGGCAGGACCAGGGGGTCTGGTGGAGGTGGCCCCCCAGGTGTGAGGCTGCAGGCACTGACCTGCTCTCCTTGCTGCTTGTAGATCTGCGCTGTGCTGGCAGCGGTGACAGAGGTGATCCGCTCACGGGGGGGCAAGGAGAGCGAGACGGAGTACTTTGCTGCACTGGTGAGTGGTGGCTGTGAGGAGGTGTGCGCAGAGCTGCTGTTGGCAGCATGGGTGGGCTCTCAGTAGGGTTAGTGGAGGAAGGTGCTGTGCTCCTAGTTGAGCATCCAGCAGAGATGCTTTTGGGCTGCTCGTGGGTTTTATTCCCCGCTCTGCAAGGGCTGGGGAAAGGCTGGCCTGGTGTGAAGTCCCGCTCCCCCCTCACTCACCCATCCTCTATTCCCAGA